CTAGGGAAGGGGCACACAATTAAAGTGCTTTTTGCCAATTTCCCTTGCAAATGAGAAAGGGTCCTTGGGCAGAAGCCAAGCCTAAGTCATTTCACCAAAGCTACTCTGTTCCAAAGAAGCCTGCATGCTAAGCACTGTTGTGGAGGAAAACTATGACATCACTCCCAGAGCAATCACATCCAAAGCAAAACTAGGGTTTGATTCTCTCTGTGAAATCTATTTGTGGTGACAGCTGAAGAAGGATTTCTGTGCATCACTAACTAGACCTTGCTCCTGAGAAGGGTTATTTCCCTGGGGAAAGAAATGCTCCTTATTGAAACTGCTTGCTGTTCCACATCTTTTGCAGAAGGTAGTCACAAATATTGCCAAAGGATAGCAGGTACTTAAGTAATTAGGACCTCAAAGAGGAACTTGATTTCACTTGATCCCAGGATCCACTAACTGTGGTTTACACAAGCAACACAGGCTCTTGGCCCCAACCTCCTTTCCCAGGTCCCTGGCTGGAATTCACTTCATTGTTTACATAGCACCGAAGGCCTAAAAGATTTTTTTTTAAAGGCAGCTATATTTCATACAAAGTCTTTAACATTCTGTTGCTAAGAGAAAATTTTTACCTGGTCTGTTCCTATCTAGTAACATTTCACACCCACCTACTTAACAATTTCTGGACTATACCTTTTAAAAAGACTTTAGAATCTTTTGAACCATGGAACCTACTTCAAAGCAGCTTAAGAAGGTATGAATTACTGTTGTTTTTAAAGAAATACAAATTAATATCTACCCCACCCCCATCCCACTCCCCTTTATATATTACTGAGCAGCTCTCAGAAGCTAAATTTGGATTCATTGGCAGAGTGGGAAATGCTATTAATAACTCACACAGTTTTCTGAAGTACACCTCCAATTTGGGGGGCTTCTTGACAGTTCCAGGATTGAATCTCAAAGGGATAACCTTGAAGGCAGACACTAACAGAGCAAAGTTCCTGCTTCCAGCAAGGTTGCAGTGCCAGAAAAAAAAGGAGAAACTTCTCCTTTTCTAGAAGGCAGAAACTCTATTTCCCAGGAAGCCATTCAGTGAAGATTGTTTTGTCAGGCAATTGATTTGGCCCTATCCCTCCCTCCCTCCAAATGCCACACAAAACAACTTAACAAGGTTCCTACCAGGACAAGGCTTCATTGTACAGATGGAGAAACTTGGGAACTTTTACACCCAAATCACAACTAGTCTCTTCATGCACTCACCCTGCATGATAAATGTAACTGTCATCTAAACCAAACTCACTCATCTACCACCAGATACCAAGTCCTCCTCTATAGTCAAGAAAGACTCCAAACCTGATGAACAACAAATTTGCTCATTTAAATTACATCCAAAAAGCACACAATAGGCACTTAATAAATGCTTGTTGGATTATATTATATACCTATGCCTCTTCCCCTGTAACAACAGGAATTATGACATTTCATAAGCACCAATCAGACAGGAAAGGAAAAGGAAAAGTCTTGTTTTCAAAACATAACACAGACTGCCCTGCAACTTCTTCCAGGAAACCTAACCTCCACCTCCTGGGTTTTTCACAGGGCCAGGCCAGCCAGAAATCTCATCCCTCCCCACCCCCAATGGGAGTTCAATTCCCAGCCAGAGCTCTCAGTGGATACCAAACACCAAGAACACTGACTGGGAAGAATATCTGGCTCTTATCAGAATCCCTAGTTTGTACTCTATCAGAATTCCTTTTAGAAAGAAAGGGGTGGGCCAGAAGAGACTTGTAGAAAAGCTACAGAAATATAACTATCATAATTCAGAGCAGTGAGACACCCCCTTCTCATACATACACACACCTAACTCCTAAGTGACAGTGGGTGAGCCTAATTTAAACATCTAAACCTAGGCTCTTGTTTAGCACCCCAGGCTCACTGTCTTTCATATATCCAGCCTCTTAGATCACAAATACCATCAGCAAACAGCATCAGAAGGGTCCTTAAATATATCCTATCCTGACAGATGAAGCAAATGAGGGCCAGAAAGATAATTTGCCCAAGGTCATAAAAGTAATGACAGAACACTGAGCATGAGGCCTTAGAAAGTCTGTGGTACCTCCTCATGTAATGCTTTATTCCTACAGGTCTCACCTCGGGAAAAGCTCAGTCTCTCACCAGTCTAGAGAGTTAATGAAGGGCCCAAAAAGGCCGCAGTCTCCCAGCCTTCACTAAAACACTGCCCTCAACAACACCTAAGGTTCTACACAAAGGAAAGCTGGCCAGCCAAATCCTAAACAGGACTAGAGCCTAGTAGGTTTCCCCACTTCCTTCCATCCCTGGAGAAGGGGACACTTGGACCTTTTGCTTCTTTCACACTGGCAAGCCAGCCTCCACCACTCTTTAGAAGTGTCCTGGGTCCTCAGAGCCTTGCAGGGTTCCCCTACTTCCCTTCATCCCTAGAAGGGGCAGCTTCCCCCCCCCCACTTTTCACCTTCTGCTTCTCTCACATTAACACACCAACAGCCTCCACCACCCTTTAGAGAGGTGTTCCAGGTCCTTAACTGGCCATCAAGCCTCCCTTCAGCCTCTCTGAGAATATGGATGAAGAGATGAAAGTCAAAGGGATGGATAAAGAGAGGCCGGAAAGAAGCTGAAGAACAAAACTATAGAATAGGTATGTGAACAGAAGGAGGCTAGGGGCAGCTGATGGGACAAAATCGTCTGAAAACTAACCAGGAAACTGACAAGCTTTGTTTCTTCTGGTGGCAAGGAAATGGGTGGGAGTGGGCTAGGCTGGGAGACTAAGTGAAAATAGGGGAAAGGTAGCTAAAAAATCTAAAGAAAGATTGGACAGATGTTTTTGTATATCATTCTGAGAAGGAACTAGAAGGAACAAATAAGTCCTGAAGAAGAAGAAAGAACCCTTGAATAGTGTAGGAGACCTGCTGCAGGTGAAGCAACCTAAAATAAAACAGTAATAAAAGGCTGTCAGTGAGCAAAGGGTTGAGCCCAACTAAGAAGCCTAGGGGATCAGACCAAAGTGGTAGAAAATGTGAAATAGGGGCAGTGTGGATATGGGAAGGTCAGAACCAGTGTGAGTGGGGAAGGGTGCAAAGATCCAGGTTGAGGAAGGGGTTAGGTAAATTAAGGCCTGATTTAAATGAAGAAATTAAGTCCAATTTGAGAGGTCAGCTCAAATCTAATATAAAATGGGCTTCAGGGGACTGAATTCATTTGAGGAAGAATAAGGCCCAGTTGAAAGCTTGAGTTCTGAGGCCTATTCTAGAGGCAAACTGGGAAAGTAACAAGTTTGATTTTGGGTGGAAAATACCAGGTTCAGGGGTGCAACAGGAATCCTTTAAGGGAGAAGATTTGGGCCGAGATGGCAAATGGGATAAGTTTAGTGTGGAAAGAGGCAACCAGAGTCCAGTTTGTGCAGAACTAAGGAGCTATATGACCTAGGATGGATAAGCCCCAAATTACCTGATCTGTTTGGGCCTAATTTTAAGAGTTTTGCTATACATGTTGGGGAGGAGGTCAGGGAGAAACAGGAAGTCTGATTTAGGTAGAAGCTTCTATAAGCCAGGTTTGGGGAAAAAATGGCACATGACTTTAGGAAAACTGGGTTTGGTGTAGTGAAAAAACTAGGATCTAATTTTGAGAAAGTAAATGGGGGGTAGGGCATTACGAGTTCAGAGTCAGAGGACCCTGTTTGAAGGGACCCAGTATTGGAGAGAGGAGAACAGAAGGTAGATCCTGATTGGAGGGCTGATGTCAAGCTGGGGTTCAGTGGAAAGGAAAAGACCTGTAGGTATGGAGATCATATGGAAGGGAGAAAGGTGGACAATGGAAGTGAAAAAGCCCAGTATTCACTTGGAAGAATGAATGGGTAAAATGGGATCCAATGTTAAAGAGCTAGAGATGGAACCTAGCTCAGAGGGAGGAGGGACATGGGGCACGATAGAAGGAAGAAGAGAATACAAGGACAGAAGCAACTTTAAGGGGGGTCGAATGTAGGGGGAGGAAAGGAGGACCAAGGCCTGGTTAGGGAAAGGCCTGTTCGATGTTTTCTATTTGTGTGTGTAGTTTTGGTTTGGTTTTTTGGTGGGGGAAAGGAGGTAGGGATGGGGACCTGTTACGAGGCAGGAAAGGATAGAGCCGTGTAGCCTTTAAGGGAGGGATGGAACTAATTGGGGGGGAGTTTAGGGAGGAAAGCTAGAAATACGGTAAGGGAATAGCTTTAGAATGAGAAAGGAGAAGAGTGGCAACCCTTGGTGGGGAGATGGGGCCTAGTTTTGGGGGGAGGGGAGAATGGGGCCCAATTTAATGGTTAGAAATAGATGGAACGTGCTTAGTTGAGAGAGGTGATGCCTAATTGGGGAAGGGGAGTGAGGTGAGCCAGGTCCGGGGTGATCCACGGAGGAAGGAGGGGGGTTAGAGGCTTAGGAGGGAGAGATTCTGTTGGGGGAAGGGAAATGGATGGGGCCGATTTGCAGAAGGAGGGGGGAGGGAGAGGGATAGGGCCTGGTCCGAGGGGAGGGGAGGGAAAGGGTCTGGGCCGTCGGAGGGCTGCCAGGACTTAGGGGGCGGCGAGCCGGGCCCAGGCCCGTTACCTGTCCTGGGTGTTTATCATCCTCGGCTGCTATGCTCAGGGTGAGAGGAGGAGGTGGCGCCGATGCCGCTGCCGATGCCGATGCCGCCGCCGCCGCCGCCGCCGCCCGCTGCCACGCTGGGAGGGGGTGAGTGGGTGGAGGAATAGGTAGGTGAGCGAGAGTGGGTCAGGCGCAAGGCCAGTCACTGCGGGCTAAAGTCCCTTTAGCGGCCTCGGGCCGAAAATCTCCTGCTGCCTCAGTGAGTGCCTCCCTCCAACTGACCCTCCCCGGCCGCCACCGCCACCACCGCCGCTGCTGCAACCGCCCCGCCCCCCGAGCCTCCTAATCTGCATGTCCCCACCCCCGCTCCCGCCGCGCGGTGTCCTGGGAAACTGGGGCCCCACAACAAAGGGCAAAGCACCGCCCCTCTGCGCGCAGGCGCAGCAGGGATCGGCGGACGGGGGCTTCCCTGCTTGAAGCGCCGGTGGCGTACCTCAGCTTTGGGTCGGAAGAGGCCTGAAGGAGGTGATGTATTTTTGTTTCTGTTTCTGTTTCTGTTTCCTGAAGAAACCATAGGCACCACCCCCATCTCCACGAGACCCGGGCTTTATACGTCGTGTCCTGGGGGTGAGCCCGCAGGGGATGGAAGGACTGTCTGAAAACACTGACCCCTGGGAGGCCGCAGCTGCGGGCCTAGAGCCCTCCTCGCGCCTCCCCGGCCCCCCGGGCCACCGTCAGGGCGTGCCCTAGAATGTCCACGCCGGGAGGCCTTCCACCTGCCCTACCCTACCTACCCCCCCTTTGTACAGACGAGGAAACTGAGGTCCAGAGAGACTTGAGTTATCCAGGCTAATAAGTAAGCCGAACTAGGATTCGAACCCAGGTCTTCTGACCGTGGGTCCACTCCAGGTCATAATCACTGCCCATGGCAAGCCACTCCAAATCAGTCACTTCACTTCCTAATCCCTCCAGATCAGTCACCACAGACAACACTCTAAATCACAATTACCCCAGATCACAATTGTCAGAAGTCACAATTGCCTCAAATTAAAAGCCACAGCAAATCATAATCACCTCATGTCGACATAGTTGTCAGTTGTCGGAGGTCACAATTACTCCCTTTCACAAACAATCTAAGGTTTTTGAAGGGGTGGGGGAAAATGGAAATAGTTAGAGGTGCTTACCCAGGTTTTTCTTAGGGCTAAAACACTTGTTAGTCTTTTGAAGGAGGACCAATGACGTCGTGGGGTGATGTCTTGACTTCAGAGTGAATTGGATTTAAGTGAGGCACAGCTGTGCAAAGCCCCACTCTCTTTTCCAGAGTCATTGAAGTCCAGTGGCAAGATGAAAGTGGCAGTGGCCCAGGATGCAGTGGATAACCTTGGCATCTTCAATGTCTGACCAACCTCTAAGCACCCCACCAGCTTGGGCTGTTGGAACAAATTATCCTTATCTGCCCATTCCACCGGGTAAAGTCTTCACATGCCATGGGATAGATGTCCCCCTGACCCTTGAAGGTATCTGAGGCCTGTCAGTCACCCTCAACCTTGTTTAGCAGGTCTGTCAACTGTTTACTGGGGAGTGGCTGCTGTGCAGGCTATAGCTTCTTGGAGCCACAGGTAAGAGTTGGGTGAAGGTGGACACCAAAGGTGGATGAGCAACCCTGAAAGGACTCTGCAAGCCCTCACACCAGTGATGCTAGCCCTCCCTGAACACCTCATACACTCCAGCTAAAGCAATAAATCACACCGGAGTATTAATGAAGTTGGCAGGGCAGGGCAGGGCTTGGCTCATCCAAAACACTGGGCTTCCTCAAAAATTATTTCTAGCCTCCCTTCCTAACCTGCCCCAGCCTGCACTTCAAAGTTCAAACTAGCTGAGTTGTCAGGGATGAACTTTGTATCAGGACAATGAAGCTGGTTGGACCCTTGAGTCTGTCATTCTTGCTCATTGGAAATAGTGTGACATGGAAAAGCTCTAAATTTGGAGGCAGAACACTGGGGTTCTGATCTCATCTCTGCTACTTTCTACCTCCCTAAAAATCACTTCTGTGCCTTGGATTGCCCAGTTGTAATGTGGCAGGGATAAACAGGGTATTGGAGTGAATAGGGAGCTGGCTTTGGAGTAAAGAAGACCTAGGTTCAAGTGTTGCCTCAGTCATACTATCTGAACCTGTGTAATCAATCAGTTAATCTCTTGAGCTTTAGTAAGCTCCCTATAAATTGCTGAGTCTATATTAGTGGAGGGAGTTTCCACACAAGGAGGTCCTCACATTTTACATGAATGAAGTCACAGATCTGGACAAAAAGGAAAAAACGAAGAAACCTAGAAGATCTCTAAGGTCTTTAAGAATTCTACATCTTATGACTTAAGTCCTGGGCATCCAACCTCCTGGGCCTGAATGACCCAAGTGCGTGAGGATTCCCAAGGTAACCCCATAACTAACTAAGAAAATAACTTACCAGCCTCAAGGACTCAATCTCTGTGTTTTCAGGCAGTCTAGTCAAGAAACTTTATTAGGAACTTGCTATGAGGGATACAAAAGCAGTTTGAGATGGTCTGTCCCTACTGTGAAGTAATTAAGAAACAATATCAGACTGTATATAGTGCACAGTCATTGTATATTAGCAAATATAAGTACTGTAAAAGATTTGGGAGGTTCCTGGCCTCTTGCCAAAGGTAGGACAGAGACACTTCATATGTCATTTTTTTCTGGGTAAAAATGGAACCCAAGAAATCAGAAAAGGAAAAAAACCAAGGGAAATCAAGGGTACCCAAGGGTAAAGGAAGTCACGGGATGTTGCTTGGAGTAGCAGACCATTTGAGTTTTTCTCACAGTCCAAGTCTGTGTCTAGAAAATTTGAAGCCTACATAAGTGACTATGATTCTAGTCTTAGGGGAGTAGGACAGTCAGTTTCCAAAGGGCAAGAGATAGGGACTAGAGTTTGTTATCCACCTCTCAGGGGGTCCATGATAGGAACATAAGTGGTCTAGAATGCTCCCCTTTGCCACCTAGAAAGTGATTAGCTGGATGCTTGGAGTCCAGTCTAATTCCTCTGCTACTGCTCTCCCTGATTATGAAAGCAGGATCAGGAAGTAGCTTGGCTTTCAGAAGTGGTCAGATTCCTGGGGAGCCCCACCCCCAGGACAGAGGAAGTATCCGGAAGGTTGTGGGGCAGGAAGCCTTGGAATTGAGAGTATATATTTTTGGGGTAGGGGAGAAGGTGTTCCGGTTCCGGCTAGACCATTATTTCAGTCCAAAAGGAAAAACAAAAGCTGTGGTTCCCACCAGTCTCCCAGCCCTCGGAAGCTGAAAAGTAGGCAGGAGATTCCTTTGTGTTCTCTTGAGAATAGTATTTCCCATTAATGAGCCAGCCCCTTCCCCTCCTGCCAAGTTGGTCTTCTCTGTACTCCAAGGTTCTTGTCTCAATTTTGCTGCTGTTGCAGCCTCAGGACTAGTTCCTTCCCCTCACTCAAGGCCAAGGATTCCCAGACTTCAATCCTGAGAGCACCAAAGCCGTCACCCACCCCCTATCTATAGATTCTGAAGGAGGGGGGATGGGAAGGCATTATGTATCCCAGAGGGGAAGCATATGTAAGGAAGAAATGAGGAAGAAGGGAAACTGCCAGCTGCCAAGAATTGAATGCACAGAATCCAAGAAACAGAAGTGAAACTGACTGTAGCCATAAGATGGAACGAAGGGAGGACAATTTGTGAAAATTGTTAGCCCAAAGGTTAGCCAAGGGATAGGTCTAGCTGACTGAGAGTGGAGGGAAGCCAACAGTCAAAAGCCCATTCTCCTTCCCAAAACTGGTCCAGAACAGTTGGCCCAGTGCCCACTCTCTGATCTGCCGTATTGTTCTTCATTTCCTCCTCTGGCAAGAGTTGAGGTGGGAGGAGGGGAAGTCATAGAAAGAGAAGGGGCAGAAGTAGGTGGGGTAGAGCCTGGACTTCAGTGTGAGTTGTGGGGGAGGAGCCCAGGAGTCGTTCCCACGACCTACTGCCCTTCCTGCTGCCCCAGAGCCATTATGGAAAGCGCTTTCAGAAAAATCCGTGCAAGGTATGTGTGTGTTTGTGATGTGCTTGCTCTGGATTGGCTGTAGATAATGAAGCTGAAGCCCTTTGGAGAATGGTGGAATGGTGTCTTGGCTGCTCTCCTACTGGACTTCATCAGCCACTCCATCCCCTGGCATCTCAAACTATAGAGCACCAGGAATAATCCACATCAGGTATATGACCAGGGGAGGACATTGATGCTATCAAGAGGTTTAGATTAAAGTCATAGGATTAGAGCTAGAAAGGACCTTTGAGAGGTCCTCACTTAACTGGTGGAAAAGCTGAGGCCAAGAGATATGAAATGACCTGCCCAATGTCATACATTATTCCGATTCAAACCGAGGCCCTCTGACTCCAAAATCTGCTATATTATAATGCCTCCATAGCCAGTAGCATTGATTCTGACTAAGCTGACCAAATCTACTTCATTGATCAGGAGCCTTCTGATATCAGAAATGTTCATAACTATGAGATCTTTTGCTAACAGGATGCTAGCTTTCTTTTAAATAGGTAAAATTATCTCAGTTTTGTAAATGAAAACAAAGTTGTGACTTGTCCAAGGTCACATTCATCAAGTCAGAGGTTCTTAACTAGGACTTCACAAAATGCCAAGAAGTCTGAAGATTTCAGAAAGTCTATGAACTTAGATGGGAAAATAATTACATCTTTACTTTTGCAAATCTCTTACTGACATTTAGCATTTCCTAAAGTTATTTCTTCCTAAAGAATTTTTTTAAAAAATTCTGAGGTGGGGACCATGCCACAAAAAAAGTAAGAACACCTATAGTAAGTGGCAAAGGAAGGACAAGAACCCACATCTCTCCCTCATGTAGTGTTCTTTTCATTTCACCATATTGAATTATAAATAGTATAGTTAGTGATCTTAGCCCAGTCCCATTCTTTTTTTTTACCTTTTTAAATTTTTAATTACTTTTTAGTTTTTAGCATTTACCTCCTTAAGCTTTTGAGTTCCCAATTTTCTCTCCCTACCTCTCCTCCCAAAGACAGTGTGCAATCTTATTTAGTCTCTACATATACATTGCTATTAAACATATTTTCACATTAGTCATGCCATAAAGAAGAATTGGAACCTATAGGAGGGTCCACAAGAAAAAGAAACAAAACAGAAGGAAAAAAAGAGCAAATAGTATGCTTCAATCTGCATCCAGATTCCACAGTTCCCTCTCTGAATGTGGATTGCACTTTTACCATGAGTCCCTTGGAGATGTCTTAGATTCTTGCATTGCTGAGGAGTTGATTATCGAATAATGTAGCTGTTACTGTGTACAACATTGTCTTCACTCAGCATCAGTCCATACAAGTCTTTCCAGGTTTTCCTGAAGTCTGCTTGCTCATCATTTCTTATAGCAAAATAGTATTCCATTACATTCACATACCACAACTTGTTCAGCCATTCCCCAATTGATGGACATCCCCTCAATTTCCAATTCTTTTCCACCACAAAGAGAGCTGCTATAAATATTTTGGTACATGTGGTCCTTTTCCCATTTTTATGATCTCTTTGGGATACAACCCTAGAAGTGGTATTGCTTGGTCAAAGGGTATGCACATTTTTTTAAATTTTTTTTATTTTTTCCATATGCTTTTGAGTTGAAAATTTTTCTCCCCCTTCCTCCCCCCCACCCTCCCCAAGATGGCGCACAATCTGATATAGGCTTTACATTTACATACCCATTAAACATATTTTCACATTAGTGAAGTTGTAAGTAAAAATTAAAACCAATACGAGGAACCATCAGAAAGAGGAAACAAAACTCAGAAGGTAAAAATAAGTGATAGCGATTCGACTTCCATAGTTCTTTCTTTGAATGTGAACAGCATTATCCATCCTGAGGCCTCTGGAAATGTCTTAGATCCTCATAATGCTGAGAAAGGTTCAGTTTAACAATCTTAGTCATTGCATAACGCGGCTGTTATTGTGTACAAAGTCCTCTTGGTTCTGCTCACTTCACTCAGCACCAGACCATGTAAGTCTTTCCAGGTTTTTCTGAAGTCAGCCTGTTCATCATTTCTTACAGCACAATAGTATTCCATTACATTCATATACCACAACTTGCTCAGCCATTCTCCAATTGATGGGCATCTCCTCAATTTCCAATTTTTTGCCACCACAAAAAGAGCTGCTATGTATATTTTTGTACATATGGGTCCTTTTCCCATTTGTTTGATCTCTTTGGGATACAACCCTAGAAGTAGTATTGCTTGGTCAAAGGGTATGCACATTTTTATAGCCCTTTGGGCATAGTTCCAAATTGCTCTCCAAAATGGTTGTGTTAGTTCACAACTCCACCAACAATGCATCAGTGTTCCAATTTTCCCACATCTTCTCCAACATTTATAATTTTTCTGTTTTGTCATGTTAATCAATCTGATAGGTGTGATGTGGTACCTCAGAGTCGTTTTGATTTGCATTTCTCTGATCAATAGTGATTTAGAATGCTGAGTCCCATTCTAATCTGTGCTCCTGGTTGAAGGTATCTAGGATTTGTCTTAGGATCTTTATCTTCCAGTCTTTTTCAAACTCCCTCTACCCTCCAACCCCAACCAAAAGAGATCTTGCTCTCCTCTAAACTCGATTCTATAGCCACTGTTAATATTTATCATATCATACATGCCTGGAGCTTAATAAATATTTGTTGAATGTCATCCCTTTAATCCAATACCCACTTGAGACAGAATTTCCTCATCTGTAAAATGAGGGATTAGACTAGGAGGCCTCTGAGATTCCTTCCAACTCTAAATCCTATATCCATTCTTGCTTCTATGCTGGAGGAAGTCATACCACAGAAATCCTACTCTGATGCCACATAGAGGTGATCCTTAGTTCTCAAAAGGTTATACCCACAGAGCACATGTTCTCTCAAAGGCTCTACCCTATTAGAAAGGTCTTTAATATGGTCTTAACACTGGATAGTTTGTACTTTCTGAGGCAAGTGTGGTGAATCTGGCCACTAGGTAGTGAATTCTTTGGCCTTGGCAACAGAGAAAATAGAAAGTGACCCTTAGACTCTATAACCCCTTTTTACTTCCACAGTGACAGTAAGTAAATTCATGAGAGCAGTAGAATCATAGTTTTTAGTCTATAATCATTCATTGTTCATACTCTATGAGTATGATCTTTGTATTAAATAGTCAGTCTACATGCCACTTGCATAGGTTCTCAAAGTGGGCAATACTGGCCCTTTGGAGGTGCTGGAATGATCCAGGGGGGTGGAAATAGCCTTGGGTGCAATTGGAGGGCATTGAATAAAAATAAGGAGGTGGTAGAAGCATAAGGAAAGAAGAGAAGATTTTGAAAAATTACATGTTTTATCTGTTGTGTGACAGAATTAAAGTCATAGTGATTACATTATTTTCCAAATAAACACACAACGTACAAGTTATAACCCATCGGTGGTCAAGTCCTCTGACAGGTCTTAAACAAGCAAGTGTTGGCAGATGAGTGTGTTGTACATTGTCAGGAAGTCCAGCATGCCTCGGAAGGAATATGTGCATGTAATGACTTATTTGCAATATGATACTATATGGTTACATGATGTAATATTGCATCATCAGCATTTCAGTGCAGGAAAAAACCCACAAATTTATAATAAATTATTATATTTAAAATGTGTCATTTTAAAATAAAAATTCATATTTTTTGGAATAATGCAAATTTTTTTTTAAAAAACCATTAAAGGGTTAAAGAAAGTAGATTGGAGGAGGTCCCACACTGAGTAATTTTTTTTAAAAGGGGGCAGTAAGCCAAATAAGTTTGAGAACCTCTGCACTGGAGAAACTAAATCTTGTGAATATTGACTCATTATAAATGAAACCAGAAGATACAAAAAAGTTAGTTAACCTAAAGGGATGGCTCACAAGTTCTCCTTGGTCAAATAAAAGGTGATGGTTGCTAAAAGGCAACAAAAAATTTCATGTTTGAGAACCTCTGCACTGGAGAAACTAAATCTTGTGAATATTGACTCATTATAAATGAAACCAGAAGATACAAAAAAGTTAGTTAACCTAAAGGGATGGCTCACAAGTTCTCCTTGGTCAAATAAAAGGTGATGGTTGCTAAAAGGCAACAAAAAATTTCATGGTCATCTTTCATAGCAATACTCATGGCTAAGCATAACCAAAGGGACTACCATGAAGATAATTAAAGGTTTTGTGCCAATATCTGTTGTAGAGGATGAAGAGGTAGGAAATTCTAAGAATTCAAGGCTCTAAAATGGAATCAATATATACTTTCATATTGAGTAACTTTGATGCAAAGATGAGCATAGAAGAGAGCAGAAAAAAAATGCTAGAAAATATGGCTTAGGATCAAGAAATGAAAGGGACTAAAGGCTCTCATGCCTGTATATCATGAATACTTCAAGAAGAATAACTGATCATGGAAAATGCCAAATATCACTAAAAATTAAGTTGACTACATCTTTTTAACTAATTTTTAGTAGTTTTTTTCATCACTTTCATTTAAAAATATATCCCTATCTCCACCCCCTATCCAGTGAGCCAGCCCTTATAGCAAATTAAAAAGAAAGGAGGGAAAAGCAGCTGAGCAAAACTAACCAACACATCAAGTCTGAACAGTACATGCATGGTTTCACAACTGTAGTCGTCCACCTCTGTAAAGAAGGGAGAATGAAGGTACATTTTCTCATTTCATCTCTGGGACCAAGCATGGTCAATATAATTACACAGCATTCAGTTTACAATTTTATTCTTGCCTCCGTTCACATTGTTGTAGTCTTTGTGCATATTTTCCTAGTTTGATTTATTTCATGTTACATTAGTTCATATCAATCTTCTCATGTTTCTCTAAGGTCTTCATATTCATTGGCTATTGGCTTGTTAGAGCAAAAGTATAAATCAATACCAAATTAGAATAAAAATAATACATATAGCATGAAAATAACACAGTTCCAACTCGATCCATTTAAACAAGCTGAAGTGGAGATATAATGTGGCATGATGGATGGTCAACTCTGGCGTCAAAACAATGCAGGCACAGCAACTGCCTTTGACAATGTGTGACCATAGGCAAATTTCTAAGATAGTGCCCAGGGTGACTCTCTGAAACTATAAATTTTCAGTGGAGTTGTCTATATCAGTGAAAGGAATTCACACAACAATGAAATTACAGATTCAGACATCTCCACACACAGACACACTTAAATTAAGGTCAGAAAATTGAGACATGGATAAAAGAACAGACATCATCAGAAATTATTTGCTGAAGAGGCCAAAAGAGCCTAGAAACTGCCTCTGGCAGTTATTAGGTGCCTACTATGTGTCAGGCACTGTGCTAGGCACCAGGGTTACAAATATAACAATGAAATAGTCCCTGCTTTTAAGAAGCTTACATTTTGTTCTGTGTTAAGCTAGTAAAAACACTCGCATTTCTTGCCAGGCAGAGAAAAATGTCAGCCATGTGTAACACCAACTTAGAATATAAACTCACTTACAAACTTTTACGGAGCAGAATGTGTGAAGATGACGAGCTCTTTCATTTTATAGAACAACAAGAAGCACTAGAAGAAAAAAAAATGAGAAGGAGGAGCTCCAATTAAGCCATGATCATAATGAAAGCATTTAAAGATAAAACGATGCACAGTACATTCATCGGTAATTTATGTAAGACTAGGCCTGCTCTGGACAGTCCTAAGTGTCCTAGAAGTTGTGTTAGGGCTGACTGTCTTAGCTTCGCTTTCACCCCAGTTATCATCTCAGCACGCTTTAAGCCTGCTTACACAAAACCACCTTTAGAAGGTCCATCTTGTGGCAAGGTACCTGGACGTGCTTTCTGCACAGCACTGGCTCCCCAAGGCTTGTTGGTAACACAGAATTTAAAGCTGAAAGTCACAGTCCATCACATACCTTAACAAAAATTA